TCTGAAATTAAAATATCCCAATTCAGTTCTAATTTAAATATGGAATTTGGTTTCGGTGACATACCAAGTGTGTATATATATACATATATATATACACACACATACACCGAAGAGCCATTACATTATGACCACCCTGCTAATAACATGTAGGANGTATTATAAGAAACAGTATTCAAACCTAAACTTTCACAGATTTTCCTGTGGCATTCAGTAACACTGTGTTTATTTCGAAACTCATAGTACATAATCGTTCTGATCTGCTTACGTGATAGCTCCATTTCAAACACTTTTTTGGTGCACAAGATGATAAAGTTTTGACAAACAAATTACACAGTTGTGTAGTTTCAACTTTCAGCTTTAAAATGTAAAAGCCCGTTTCAGAAAAGGTTAATGGCTGCTGATGGCACGGAGGTATTTCCCCGTGGAGGAAAACTTTTTACTCAAACCGATATATATATATATATATATATACAGAGAGAGAGAGAGAGACTATCCAAGCATTTGAAAGTTTCAGGAAGCTTTTTTAATGTTTTTGGAAAGAGCCTAGGTTCATAATAAGCTTTCAGAGCATGTTCAAAAGAATGTTCAAGTCTCAAAAGCATTTTTGTTTTTGTACAGAGTACAAATACTTTTAGAACAAAGTCACAAATATTTTGGAATAGTATGGAACTGAAGCAAACTAGTGATTTTGGGCAATAAATAAATTAATTAATTAATAAATGGAGAAAAAAAATATTAATTTAACCTTTCATTTTGGTCAAGCTGTATTTAGACAAGAAAACCAAGATTGCTAAATTAAAACCTATTGATTAAAATGTTTCGAATTTTCTGTTTCCTAATTTTTATCTAAAGAGTTTTAAAGTGAATGGTATGCATTTCATTTATTTTATTTTATTTATGATTTTTATTCCTATTATAGATAGAGCTGCGGGTGGAAACAAGTGACATTGACCTCCAGAACTTTTTTTTTTGAAAAATTATTGATTTGTAGTGAAATTATTGATATAGAAAGCTAAGATATTTATTCAGCATGTTGTGAAATATTGATTTGCTTTTATTGATTTAAATTTTGTTTTAAAAATAATGTGATCAAGAAATTTTATAAGATTTTAATAAATAGATTTTCTTTTCTATGTAAGAATTCTGTGTTTTTCCCCTTAAAATTTATCTCACAATACTTATTACTTACAACTTTTATTATTACTATTATCTGCATCATTATTTTGCTTTCATTGCATCAAAAACGCAGCTATTTTTCTCTTTAGAGTGGCAACACATACGTTGCCAGTAATAACTACGTAACTCAAGTGAAACGTAAAATTAAGTCGAAACAAATAAAGCCATATAATATTAAAACTATTATAATTTTTCGCTGTGCTGATAGTTAATAATTTGCATATATTTTTTTTTAATACTGTACTGGAAATAAGACATAAGATACTATTTTAGCATTAAAAAATTATAGAAATGTTACTTTTGGGCAAAGATGTCCCTAACTATTAGAAATGGTACTATAAATATCTTTAAGAAAATCATACATTCTGACTTTTACGGTAGCTGAAAAAAGAATTTACACAGTTTTAGTCAAACATCACTTAAAGTTGGAAATATTTTCTAAAAGTTAAACCACTTAAGCGCTAAATAAGCTAACAAATAGATCATATCTACATATTTTTTAATTATTGATTTGTCGTGGTAGGTTAAAAAATTTTGTTGAAACTTCAAATTGAGGATTTAATGCGCCAAAACGCTATAATGTTGTTACAAACAAAAAAATATATATATATTAACTGTAATACAAGTTGGCAACTAATGAACTTCTTCGCTTTTTTTTCCCTCAAGAATTTAAAGCTATTGACCAATACGTTGTATAATTTTGAAAAGATAAGTTAGCAGTCTGCTTCGTTTTTTGATCTTTTAAAATTTACTTTCGGTAGTTGAGTCATTAAGCTGGGACGCATAAAGGGGTTTATGTATGAAAAGTAACTATCGAAAAAAAGCTTGTATAGACCAAGTGGATATTTCTTTCTGCTACCTATTTTCTACCACTTTAGCTTAAAAATACACAGTGCATAAATGCTACTAATGCACAGTACTGGTTCTTACGCAGTAAGAACCAAGTATAAATATTCACATTCTCAATATGTTTTGGTGGACAAAATTATCTTTTTCTCCTTCTTTCAAGGCACTACAGTCTGTAACCGGCTAAGGCCCTCCTTCAATTAGAGGTCTCGCGACAGTCGCGTGGAGGCAAGTCTTGAGGGGTCAAGTAGAGATTTTAAGAAATGTTGTTTCCTATTTCAATGTCATTACCTTTTTTCTTTTTTTTTTAACACTTACGCATACTATATCGCAAACATCACTGTATCATATCATGAAATATAGTGCATAGATAGTTTTTTTTTTGTATAATGTCACTTTAACTATTAATATTGCTTAAGAGTTTTAAAGTTATTTACTATTCATTATTTTAATTGAATACTTTAAGTGAATATAGTTTTTTTTTTTTTTTTTTGTATAATCCTTNGTATAATTATGTCCTATTGAAGAAAAAAGTAACAAAAAATAGCTGAAATGATAAAATAAGTTTAATATTCATAGTGTAACTGCCATATTTCTCTAAAATAAAGTAAGTTTTTACGCAATGCTAACTGCAGTCTCAGAACCGTAATGTATTTTTCGTTGATAAAAATATTTAAGAGAGAGAGAAATAAAACAAATATATCTGAAATGACAAAATAAGTTAACAGAAAGTAATTATTAATTTGTCAGGGAAATAAAGGCGGCATGTGCGTGGTATGTATATATATATATATATNTATATATATATATATAATATCTTACAACCCCGCTTAAAGGAATACCATCGGTTCCAGTCAAAGCTATGCTATTAAGCGAGCTATTCGATTAAAAGGGGAGTGCAATATTCAATCTTAAATTCTAAATTTTTTCGAAAATTTATTTTTTAATGGTATTTAATGCATAGCATAGCGCTTTGATTATATAAATTCAGTTTTAAGATCAATAAGCAATTATACATAAAACTGTCTGCGTTAGTATCATAAAATATAAATGTCATTTAATGTTGCATAAAACTAAATCAATGTTAATGAAAAAGTGTAATAAAATATTATTTGATCCCGTCCGAAAAAATCTATAATTGAAGACTGTTTATACCCGTCTAATTCCTCAATTTATCAAAATTAGATTTTCCCTTTCAGTTTGCATTAAGACTTTCATGACTTGCTTATTCCTTTCAAATACATTCAGAATTTATAATTTTATTTTTACTTATTTATTTTTTTTAATCTTCGAAACTTGAGAAATTCCAAATTAATGTGCTACTTTAGTTTGGAATTTTTTTAAATTTTCTGTTTCCAAAATTTATTGTTTTTTTTTGTTGTTGTTTTCTCAATTATTTCAAATTATTCCTTTTTGAGTTCAACTTGCAACCAACTCAGATTTATTCACTAGTTTAAGCAATGATTATTTTACTTAAGAGAAAGACACACTAGTGTGTTACGTTTTGGAGACTTTTTCTTATAATGCTAATAATGCACCAGGCGGGCACCACAGGTCTTGACCACAAAACAAATCTCTCTGTACCCTTTTTACATTCTAAATGATGTGTAAAGTAATTTAAAGAAGGGTAAAAAAAAAAAAAAAACTCGTTTACTTCAATGTATAACTAGCAGTACGATTTGATTAATTTTTCAACTTTACCACCTGTTAAGACCAACTAAGGAACAGGAAGTCCCTATTGAAGGGACCACCTATTTACTTAACTGAAAAACGGAAATTCGATTTTAGCTGGTGAAACATTTCTCAAAAATAAACAATTTTTTTTTTATTTCAGTACCTCCTCTTTATGCAATTAGGCGGGGACAAAAAACAACAAATATTCGTTTAAACGGGAAAGTTTAACATTCGTTTCATATAAAATGATGATTTGGTTCCATTAAATTTTATTCATATGAGCGGGTTATTCGATTATCCGATATGCGATTAAGTAAGGACGACTGTGTGTATATATATATATATATCACAAAATTAAATGAACCATTTACTTTGATACGTAAGCCAATTTTAAAAATCAACGCAGCTCAATTGTTTATTTGAAACAAAAATTTCTATTAAAAATGTAAAATTAGGATTTTTTTTTTAATTACCACAGAATAATAAGTCTTCTTTCTTTCCTAATCCCCAAAATTAGCAGGGATAAACAATGTCCATGAAATTCATGACCCGGAGGAAGTCGGTCACCAAAAGTGGGTTTTCTAGAATGTCCCTCTTGTCCAGTCCCAGGATATGTTGGGGAGAAGCAAGCACGTAGGTATAGTTTTTTCATGGGGGGTGTTTTGTGATTGAGGAATTTATTAATTAGATGTAATTTAATTAAGCCAGTTACATACATACAAGTAAACTCATTTTGGTTTTGATAAAATAACCTAATACAGAAATTTTCACTGTAAGCTTCACTTAAAACTAAAAATCGCAACCAGTGATCTAAATGAGATCAAAATAAAGGCAAGACATAAACGTCGTTGATCGCTTCCCTTCTATTGGGAGATAAGCGAAATTCAAATAAAAAGAACATTAAAACAAAATCACCGTTATTGTCAAAAATTCACGTATAAAATATCAATAAAAATTCATGTGTTCAGCGCAAATTATAATGCGTTTAAGCAGCCAAAATATATAAAAAATGAATTCTTTACGAAGTAGAATATATGGGTAATTTTCAGAAAATACGACCCNCTCTGAATGTTTAACAACATTACATAAATGATGAGTGTGAATCAGGTTGGCATTGGAAAATTTTTTTAAAAATGCATATCTCTTTCTTCCTTATCCCCAAAGTTAGCAGGGTTAAACAATGTCCATGAAACTCATGACCTGGAGGAAGTCGACCACCAAAAGTGGGTTATTCAGAATGTCCCCTTTGTCCAGTCCAAGACAGTCCAGGATATGTTGGGGAGAAGCCTGCATGTTGTGGCACCTGGGGCAGTTTGGGAAGATTTTAACACTACCCTCGAAAGAAAGAGACTTTATTGCGGTTGTACCGAATGTTGAGTGCACCTCCTGGACGGGTGCTCTGATACCAGTGATGTTTGGGGGGTACGAGCCAGGAAACAATGTCTTCTTTTTTCTTTTTCGATGCCAGTTCCATGAATCTGAGTGAATTTGGACTCATCAAAGTTTCTTCTGTCCCCTGTCCCCTTCGGCGATATCATTGCCCAGGACCCCAGCGTGAGAAGGGATCCACTGGAGGTGGACTTCACGCAGTCCTGAGAGAGTTTTAAATAAGTAAACAAGACAAATAGGAAGTCTGGATATTTCCTCTTTGTGGCACATCTGGACGAAACATATTACTATTTGAGGGAGACAGTAATCTTACACCTCCAAATTTTATTACTTTCAACCACGAATCGGCGCGAAACGTTTCCTTACCTTCTCACTCTAAACGGGAAAATATTTTAGTTTATTTTGTAATATATTGTTCTTATTTGTAAAAATGCAAGAGATAGAAATAATAGCAATTTTAGCTCTTTTAGTTCGCAAAAGAAGAAAAGAAAAAAAATTTCAAAGACTAATGCGTCATCCTTTAACGGATAAGCGCCATATATTTGGCCATTATTACACTCAACACAATGAGTTAAAAAACCAAACGTCGAGAGAAACATTTGGAACACAGGAGCACTTGCAGGCTATGAGGCCTCCTATCACATCCAAGAACAGTTGTCCGATTCATCCAGAAGAAAAGCTTTTAGTGACTATAAGGTGAGTTTAATAATTATTATCTATTTATTATTATATATATGCTAGAAGAATTGTATAATATTTAGATAACATTAACTAAGGTCATCTGTTATAAGATTTGAAATCTGTCATAAGATTTGGGGATCAAATTCTAATAATTACTATTTAAAACAGTATATGAAATTTCATTGTAATATTTTAGATAGGGCTTTTTTTAAATAAAAGATATCCAATAGAAACTAGTATTTGGTATTGCAGTTAATAGTATATCTCAGCTTAGAAATATGCATACCTAACTTGATCGTTATTATTTTGAAAGTTAATTGATTGTTTCTGTTGTGGAAATTCAGCAATTTTTATTTATTTATTTTTTTTTATATAATTTAGTCAATCTTGAACAACATTCTTTATTAATTTATTTTATTTTTTCGAAAAAAAGTAGTAATATAGATTTTAATTATTTTGCTATTTTTTAAGTCTTTAATCAATAAAAGTTATTAAAAAAAGTAGCATAACGAAAAGAAAACTAATTATTATGAATAAAAAAGCAAGCACCCAATCGAATTTCTTAATTTTTTTCATGAAAAGATATTTAGCATTTTACAGTATAAACATGCATTAATAGTCGAATATTCTCACTATCTTTAACAAAAGGGTAATACGTTCACTGATATGTAAGTCCTACTCTACCGCCTGACTGGTGGTCTTTCTCCGTTTTTGTTTACCATGGGATTAGTAAAGGTGAGCTTTTTCATAACTGGGCTTGTGTTATCAGATTGGAAATTATGTCTGAGCCATCGTAGTCTATTACATTTTATGGCTTTAACAATATCAGGTTGCTTGTTCTTTTGATAAATTCAAAGGTTGAACGAAGATCACCCGCTATTATTCTCATGGTCAACACCAAATACTTTTACTAAGATTTTCCGTTCAATGATCAATATTTTTTTTTCTTCATGTAACTTGGTTATTGCCCAGCAATCGAGTTAATATTTCATAGATATTAATTTTTGATTTTAACCTAAAAAGTCAAGATTTTAGTTGATTTCTGAAGCCATCATAGCATTTATTTGACGTGGAGAGCTTGATGTTTATCTCGACGGTGAAATCATAGTTAGCAGTAATGGTGGTTCCAAGTGGGTAACTCATTCAAAGGTGTAATACTTCACATTAAATGGTTATCATGTGCAGAATTATCTTGTTTCTACAAGAATCCCAAGAAAGCAACACTTGTGTTACCACTTTTTTTTTTTTAATTATATATAAAAGAAAAAGTAGTCCTTTTAAAAAGACACTAAATAAAAATTTGTTAAACTGACTCACCCGACAAAAATGCTTTCAGGCTTCACTACCATTTTTTTTTCCACATATATATAACCCTATATACAGCTGTGCTTACTTAAATTTAAAATCTCTTTTTTTATTTCTATAAATTTATTTATAAAAAATCTTCTAAAAGAGCTCGCAGCAATGTTTCCAATATATTAGAAGATTTATTGCGAATGTCAGGGTTTATACTGAGATTAAAAAACTTAAGAAACTGTAGCAAAATTAATCAAAAAACTATTTTGAAATGTTTGTAATCCCCAAAACGTTTTAATAACTCCAATAAAAAAAATCACATGTTTGAAAGTCTCATTTTTGAGCTGCAAACGTCTCTAAGTTCCGAGTTTAAGGATAAAGATCTTACTTTTGGAGAGTTTCATTCAAAAATCGAGCATAATTATTATAAATTTATAACTTATAGCCGAAAAAAATTTTTTAAATCACTTCTTTGTCTTTTAACCCTCTTGTATCCAACGTCCTTAAAGAAAATTCCTTTCCAGGAAGAAAAAAACATTTTTTTGCAGATACTTCTATCCATTATATTTAATAATAAAGTAAAAATTGTTATTTGGATCCTAATTGAACTCACAGTGATTTTTAAAAACTTAATTGGTTATAAAACTGCAAATAATATCTACTTCTTCTAAATCTTAACAAAAGTAATCGCAGAATCCTATCGAAAATTAACATGCCGTGGCCTTTAATACGTTTAACTATGAAACCGGCTTTTAATTTGATTTGAAACTCAAAACATATTTAGCTTTTAAGTATCACAGCGTTAAGTTTTATAACTGAAAATAAGTGCTTAAATTGTTAATATGTTCGGATAATTAAAATGTCTCGTTTCACTCACAAATAGGCGAAAAATGTCTTAATCCTCCTAACGCCATTTTATTTTCGCTTCAACGCTGCGACCTTTGAAGCAAATGCTTGCAACTATTTTATATATATATATATGTATATATATAGATTGCTTTCACATATAAACCTTTTTCTGTGACTTAACGTTAATAGGTTCAAAGGCTGGTCACATTCCCAGGGCTGACAACTTTATGCGTTTTTTTGGGCAAATTTCATCTAGTAAAAGCTAAGTTTTTATTTTAATGTATGACTCCTTGTTTTGTAAATTTTATTTAAAATTATTTTTTACACACCTATGCATGTATGTAAATAATTCAAAAATTGACTCCTCTACGGATGAACTTTACTTTGTTCCATTTTTGTGAACTTTGTTCCATTTCTGTGTTCCGGATGAACTTTACTTTTTCCATGTTAGGTTCCATGTCAGTAAGGTAAATACTAATAATGCTAAAACTGACCTTTTTCGGTGTACCTTTTCTCAGCATTCAAATAAGATATTGCTTCAGCTTTATTTCACAGAATATTTACATATACCTGTTTACACTGTGAAAACTGTTAATACATATCTTTAGCAGAATTTTTTTTTTAAATTATGAACTGTAAACTTTTAAATTTTTAAAAAGTTTAATCAAAATTTTTTAATAACTCAGAAAATATTCCTGTTAACTCTAAGACATTGCAACTGGTATAATCTCAAATATCCCCAAAAAAATTTCAAAGCAATATCATAAGTAATTTCTTAGAAAAGGTACATCGCAAAATGTCAGTTTTAGTATTATTGATATGTGCCCTAAACATATATCTTATTTTATACTTAAAATGTTGACTCCTCTTAAAATGTTGGCAAAATTACCAAGCATTCCAAAAGCTTTAGTTTTTAATTGTTTACCATTCTATATACGTTCTATATATTCGTTCTATATACGTTCTATATATATTACCATTCTATATATTCACGAGAGATTTTGCAAAAACCGCAGTAGTTCACAGTCCTGCATTCCAGAAAAATTTAAGAACTGATGGAAAAAGAAAACGAAATACTTTAACTAATCATTATCGAGCAAAAGCATTTGTAAATATCTGTGTCATAAATACCCAACTGAATTTCTAAAATTAACTTGAAATTAAAGTTTAAAAACTCTGCAAAAACTTAGTAAAACATTTGTCACCACTTTTTGAATTTTTCCGGACTGTGAACACCTTGATTCAGCTTCTAGCATTTTGCTAAACCGTTAACTCCGAAAGTCACGAAAAACCTTCTAACTTTTATTATTTTTGTTTCACATTCTACACGAAAAGGAACTTGAAGAAAAAAAATGAGAAAAGGGAAATTTTTCTTCGTTTTTTCATTTCCGTAGCTCATAATCTAGACTAAATCTTTTGTTCCTTTCCTTTTTGGAAAAAGAATTTGCACGCTATCTTAAAAATCGTGCGATCACTGTTTTAAAGTTATTCACGCAATCAGGAGAAAATGGCGACATTTTCACGAGTTCGATATCGATGCAAAATAAATATAATATTAGTACTCATCTAGAAATGAGATTTAAATTATTCAAAAACCAGTACGCTACGACAATTTTTAAATTTTCTTTTCAATTCTTATAAAAATAGAAGAAAAACATTTATTAAGAATTAAAAGTAACAATTTTTTAAAAAGTTCAAACATATTTGAATCTTAAACTTTCGACATTATGAACTTTAATTATTTCTATTTTAAAAATCGGTATTTTATGTACTACTAGATGTATATGCAACCGTGAATGACCGAAATCATGAGAATGTTGACTTTCACTGGTTAATGTCAACAATCACATAGATACTTTACTGAATGTCCGAAATACTCGTTATATCCGATTAGATATTAATTTATTCGTTGATATTATTACATTTATTCGATATTTAAATATCTGCTGAGGATAGATTAAGAGAAATATCAGTGTTAGGAGTACCGGGCAGTGGCCTTGAACCTTAAAAAAAAAAAAAAAAAAAAAAAAAAAAAAAAAAAAAAAAAAAAAATTNACCTTAAAAAAACATCAGTGTAGGGTATACCGGGCAAATGTTTACCGAGCAGTAGCACTTAACTAGACCCAGTATATATATCGGACATTTACCAAAGTAACTATGCGATAGTCAGTATTCACCGGCGGATGTCAACAACCACCAATTTCGGTTATTTATAGTGACATATACAAACATAAATATTCATATTATAAACGACAACACTAATTTGCTCTTCTGTAATGCCATGAGATCATAAAAAGGTAAAAAGTGTTAATCAATAAGAAGCAAAAATATCTTTAAAGATAATAAATTACAACATTCAAGGTTTATGCGAAATTTTATTTTCCAGTCTAGTGCAGAAACTGAAGCAAACATTTTTTAAACAAATAGAATTTTCATCAACTTTTTATCACAACTTAAGAATATAACCATTTTTTTTTAATTATTTAACCTTTAAAATATCTGTTTAAATTATTTATATGTAGTGGAAAACAGTATTTTTTCATTGTAATTTTTTTTTAAATATTAATCAATGTTCCCACGACCTGGAAAAAACAAATGAGTGGTAGCTAAAAATTTTAAAGACTGTTGAAAAATGCTTAAATTTATCCGTCATTTATGAATTACGAAATTATTCCCGAGTTATTTTTTAGGCTCATATATATTTCTTTCAAATTTGATAGTTATTGAATGCTTAAAACATGTAAATTTATCTCACTTTTGCTATTACTTCAAAAAAATTTCCAGGCCTGTTAATGCCTTATTTTTGCTATCACTAAAAAACAATAATAACAACATATGAAACCGCGCCCGCTAAACAGGCCAAACTGTGCACACGCGAGATAATTCGAGCGGTGTTGTATTTTATGATGCTATAATTTTTCACATTCGAATATAATCGAGAATTGAAAATAATAATGTGAAAGCTAAGGTAAAAAATCGTTTTATTGATATTTATCATTTACATCGGATTGTAAGCTATGACACTTATTTATTCAAGAATAAAATATAACCTTTTTCCATGGAACAAAAGCGCAGTGTATCAAAATTGTCCACCGAAAGAAAAGTTGAACCAGGAGCGGAATCAATTTTTTAACTGTAAAAAAAAATTGACTTTTTTTGGCTGTTTTTTTTTGAAAAATCTGTGCGTTAAGGGGTTAATAATGCAATGCATGGTACAGGATGCGACAAAAAATGCAAAAAGCGATAGTAACTGAATTTCTTATTGTTTATTTATTATTTTGTTTAATTATTCAATCATAACTTCCACTATGACTTACATTTCAAATTTTTAATATTTAAAGCAAAATCATTCCTCAGGTGTAAGTTCAATTTTAAACTGGAGAAAAAAAAATTGCTGGAAAATGTTGTTACTTTCAATATCTTTTAATAAAATTTTGAATTTTATTGACACTACTTTTTGCATTTTTTTAGTAGCCTGTGGCAAGCCTTATGGTAATAATTACGAATGGATAATAAAGTAGAAAAATTAAAAGTGAATGAATTCAGTATCGACTATTATATATATATGGAAAAAGAATTTGCACGCTATCTTAAAAATCGTGCGATCACTGTTTTAAAGTTATTCACGCAATCAGGAGAAAATGGNAAAAAAAAAATCTGTTATTTTACCATGCATTTTTATGTCCAATTTTATAACTAAACAGCAAAATTATTAACAACCTTTAATTTTTTTTTCTTTTGAGCATTAAATTCAGTGCCGTTCCTGGGGTGGCGAACGCCTGCGTGCAAGAATAATTTTGTGCGCCCCTATATACTATGCTTAAATTCTGATGATAAGGCCAATTTTCATAATCATTTTTAGTTTGAGGTTTAAACTGAATAGTTTCCTTAAAGACTAAAGTCACTTTAGTGTAAGTGTTTGATTATGAAAATGGGCGTAATAAAATAAAACAACGAAAAAATATGACAAAAAATTTATTTTCGACATCAAATAACTACAATATTGACTATTAACGACTATTAATTGACTATTAACGTACAATATAGGTCATAAATTCCAGTGTAGAAGCAAAGTGTAGAAGTTACTTCTTATATTAGTTTACTGTTTCTTCCTGTAATCAAAGTTTACAGCTTTGCTATAATTTGATTTTTAATAATTTGATTTTTTTAGAATCGTTGAATTTGGAGCCCCTTAAATTGGGCGCCTGCGTGCGGGGCATTCGCTGCATACCCGCCAGGAACGGCACTGATTAAATTGTATTTTAATTACATTGTGTGAATTATAATTCTTAAGTAACATCAAAATGTAATCAAATTTCACCTCAACCACAAAAGAAATACATATTTTTATTCGACTTTTTTTGAACTTTTGAGTTCAATCCGTCTCCTTATCTTCTACCTTTACGAACGATGTTACTCACCCACTTGTTTTGGCATGGTAATGACCTGTTGGCGTGTTCTGTTGAGTATTGGCGTCCAAAACCCAAGAGTAATTAATACGGTAATCCTATTTATGTGTATGATTTGTGTTTACATAGTTTAAGGGAATCAGCATGACAGAGTAAGTATTTCTTTAATTTATAACATAATTTCTCTGTAATTGACTTTCTAGGATTAATTTTTATACCAAATATCTTCTTCTAAAAGAAATGATGGATAATTTGAATAAATCGGAACCAATCCAAACTCAAGTGCGAAACAGAGATTAAATTTACCGCCAATTATCTACTTTAATGAGCTTTTGATTTAGATTTCATTTAACCACATATATTTATCTTAATATCTTGTTTGAAATAAATTGATTTGTTATTCAACGATTTATTTAACCATTTAATTTAGATTTGCAAATTTTGTGTAAATTAACTTTTAAACATGTTTACTTTCTTTTCTCGGTTTTAGGAATAAATTACTCATTTGTTAAGCAGTTCATTAACTTTAAAATTTATTAGATTTAAGATGCATTATTTTATATATTTTCGATGCATGAAAAAGCGAAAGAAAATATCAGAAGCTAATTATGAAATGTATCTACGAGCATAAACTATACATATAGTCTTTTATGAATATAAATTAAATAAACCTTGTGTTCCAATTATATAAACAAAGTTTTTGTTGAACAATTTCAATTATGGTGACTGATTTTTAAAAACTCTAATTAAAAATTTCTGCTAGAAGCTTGAAAAATTCACAAGTTTGTATAGATGAAATACAAATAAACAGTGCATAATCATAAAAAGTTATATTTATTATTCGTCTAAAAATTTACAAATTTTAGTTGGTTTTTGACTAATTTGTTTACACTTAAAATTTCATTATTTTCCAATGCTGTTAATCATAATAGTATATTAACTTCATTAGTTTTATTAATTATAAAGGTAACATGTGAACTGTGTTTAAAAAATAAAAAGAGGTAGCATAAGAGTTTCTTCAGCAGCATTTATTTTAGTAGAAGGCAGTGATGATGTTTATAAAAATGTTAAATTAAAAATGGTTGAAACTGAATTCATATTTAATTATTTATTAGTAATTTAAAAGTGCAAAAAGTGTTGTTAATAAATTTCAAAATTTTATTAAAAATCAATTTTAAAACCTTTATTATTATTTTTTTCCTGAATTAATATATTATAAGGAGACTGCATTTAATGTTCTAAAGCATGTACTCTTCTTAATATTGCCATTTTTTTTTCTTTCCATGAATCACTTTGATCTTGTTTTTAAATTCTGCTCTAAACTTTTACTAATAATTCAATGTAAAAAAATTTCTTACCAGAATAAATTTCATATCGAACTGCATCAAGCTTAGATCCTTCTCTTTTTGAAGATTTAATTTTCATTTCTTTTAATTGTTTCTTTCTTTTTTTTTTTTNTTTTTTTTTTTTTTTTTTTTTTTTTTTTTTTTTTTTTTTTTTTTGGTGAGGTTTTATTGCTCTAATTGCTTTTTTTTTTCAATGTTTGACTGTTTGAATTAGGCATAAAATATAGTTTTCTTTTATTAGATTCTAAAAATACTGCTTTGATATGTTTTAAAAATTCTACATATCCCCCTCCCTCTAAGCCTTAAAAAAATAAAAATATGCAGTTAGTAATTTTGGATAAATATAAGTTTGTATAAGACCACTTTAAGATTTTTTACAATTTATGCTTAAATTTCTTAAAATTGAAAATTTTGATTTGGGAGATTGTTGAAAATTCTCTTTTATAGATTTAGTTTGCTTACTGTGGTGTAAATATGTTATACAGTTGAGCACTGTTATGGTAAACTATGTAAAGACTCAGTAGTAAGTCCACTATAATCAGCAGTTCAAAACATCAATATTATTTTACAAACTATTTTTTTTAGCATGTGTCAATCTTGTTAAAAAAGAAAAGTGATTAAGCATACAAAAGAAAAATCAACACGTGCGACAAAAATTCAAAATTAAGATTTTTATGTATTTGATAATTTTGTGTGATAAGCTACTTATTGCAAACTATTTTTTATCAAAATTAAATTTTGTTATATCAGTTTTTTTTTAATTCTATTTTAGCATTCATAGCAATAGAAAGAATATAGTTGTCAAGCCATTTTTCTCGAAATCTGCTATGAAGCACTTACATTGTTTTTTTATTTGCACTGTAGAATAGAGAACATGACTTGTTTGTAAATTATTAACTGATTGAACAGGTAATAAGTAAAATATTTAAAAGGAAATAATCATTTTTCCATTTTAGGGAAAGGATTTGCAATTTTCATTTGATTACTATTTAATTTAATTACAGTACACCAATATTGTTCAGTAATTAGTAAATAATTCAGTCCTTTCTAATCTGCATTTTTCCCTAAAAAAATTCTGAATTATTAATGCTGATTTCATTTTTGAAATAAAGTTGCCAAAATTTTTTGTTCTTCTTTAACCTAAAGGATGAAGTTAAGTAAATGGTCAGTATTTGCTGCTTAGCAACTTGTTTTTCATTGTTTATAAGCAGGGTTGGCAGGTTTTTGACATGTGACAGTTTTTGACAGTTTAAACCATGGTTTAAACCGTCACGTCAAAAACCTCACTGTCAAAAATGTCGAAAATGTCAAAAACCTATATTCATATGTGAAATTTAATTAATACATAAAATTTATATATTTTTTAAAGGATANTATAATTGTGTAAAATAATGTCATTTAAATAGGAATACCACTAAAAGGGTTCACTTCAAACACATATTCACATTATACTCGATTCATTATACCAAAATTCAACTTTATTTAGAGATTAGTTTACAAAGAAATTAAATTATTTTGATTTAGCATTTGTTTACAATGTTTTAATTATTTTTAGGATTCAACCAGTGAAATTGGCATTTGATGTCTTCAAACCTTCAGATCATGATGAATCTAACAGTCCTCCTGTTATTTTACTGCATGGAATTACACGTTCAAAGGAAAGATGGTCTTCAATTCAGCAAAAATTAGCTGATTCTACAAAGCGTTTGGTAATAATGATTTAAGTTTTTTATTTTAATGTTCATGTTTTATTTTAGATTTGAAATTGTTTATAGTATTTTTTAATAACATAATTTACATACCATTCTATTGTTTTTATAAATGGTTATGGCTTCAAATTCTTGACTTTGCATTACATGAGATGTCATGTTTTGGAGAAGTCGATAAGTAAATTGAAATTTCTTACAACTATATAACCTTTTAACCATTAGGTGCACAATCTGTGTCCCACGTCCCACACGCAGCCCACCAACTATTTAGATGTGACCTACGGGAGCTTCTAAAAATAATATTTATTTTTAAAAAATAAAAAAATGTCTAAAAAATTTAAGTCATCACTTTTTGATGTGCTCAATTTGCACAGATCCCATTGTGAATCTGTGTTGTTTATCAATCGCTTTTTCAATAATTATTGCTACAAAATTTGGAAAGTTAAAAATAAAAAAGAAACATGTGCAATATTACGGTGTGCGAATTTCGAATTCATTAAATCACTTTTGAACTTGCTTTATCTTTGTCGATTTTAAGTTAAATACAAATGACGTTTCAATTTTTTTTTTTTTTGCATTCGCAACTACTGTTTTCTTGTGGTTTTTAATATCCTGATACATTCATTATGATATTAGGACTTGTGAGTTTTAAATGTCACATTTAATTTTGTTATTTTTTTTATGTGCTGTATTTGTGCCGATTTCACCATAAATCTGAATGATTTTTTCTTCTTCTTTTTTTTTAAAAAAAAGGGAGTTATTGCTACACTTGAAAATTAGAATAAGATATTATAGTTTTTAATTATTCTTTTACTATTCTCATTTACATAATATACTACATTTATTTTAATTTCTTAAAAACTTTATTTCTCTTTCCAATTATTGCTTTTTAGATTTTACTTATTTAAACATAAATTAAATTGCAATTATAAGCTGTTTAAAAAACTGTTATAAGATTATTTTTTTTAAGAAAAGTTTAATTTCTTCCACTTAGGTTGGAAGATACCTATTTTTTCCATGCTGTTTTTTTCCACTGTGGACGAAACTTGCTGTCTTAGAAATACATGATATGTGTTTTTAAACAATCCAAATTTTTATTTGTCTAAATTCTAGGTTTTTTTTATTCATATGAAAATATCATTTGCTTATTTTACAGAAATGTTTCTCACAAAAATTTAAAAAAGGTCTAATCTTAGTAGCATTGTTCTTAGATAAGTTGTTAATAATTTTTCTCTTATTCTATATTAACAGTCTAATGTTCTAGGTTTATGCATTAGATGCAAGAAATCATGGGGATAGTGAAAAAAGTGATTTGTTCAATTTCAACGCCATCACAGTGGATGTTAAACACTTCATGGATACGCACAAGATATCCAAAGCTTCATTTATTGGCCATAGCATGGGAGGGTTAGCAGCTATGGAATTGGCTCTAATTGCTGTATGTATAGCTAATCTATATTTTTAGTTTTAATCCTAAATTATTTTCTTCTGCCCTTTTTGTAATCTGTTAAATGTTTTTATATTATATTTCACGTGTTATATACAAGTAATTTTTTTTTAAAAAAATCATCAAAATGTGAGTTATTTAAGTTAGAGACTGACAATTTTATTTTTACTTTAAAGAACCAAGCATTAACCTCTTTTATATTCTGTGAAATAAAATTTTGATAATAATGATTTTATTAACTATTTTTTTACTTTCTATTTTTGTAAAAAGAATATGTGTGTTAAGTAAGTATCAATTATTTTTTACTTTTTGTGCAAACATATACTATATTACACATGCATTTATTTATTTATTGTTGTGGTTTATCTTTTTCTCTATTATTGTTTTCTACTGACTACTAGATAAAACATGATTGTATATCATTTTTCTGACACCTTGACAGAGATCGTACTCTTGATGATAAATATGTTTTTCATATTTGTATTTTTTTCCTTTAATATATTAATTTTGTTTTCAAGACTCAATAAATAACGTTTATAAATGCTTAATCATACAACTAGTATGCACCTCGAGAACCTTGTTTTGACCAGCTTGTTTCCCTTTTATGGGGTCAGGGAATTTTTGTTTTTGAAGGGAAAAAAACAAAATTCCTTCAACTAAATAGGAAATAGATCAATTTTTAAATTCATAGTAACAGTAAATAGCCATTCAGGTTCACTATAAATGTGTCCCTAGCATTTATTACTATTATTGCTAATAAAAATTCTATTGCAACGTGATTAAATTTTCTTAACATCATTATTATTAAAATATTAATTTTTGCAAAATATTTTACAGCTTGGATTCAGATGATTATTCATTTACTAATAAAACTCTATCAATAATTTTAATTAACTCCTTATTGGGCCGTTTTAGCTTTCAAAATTTTACATACTCTTAAGAATTAGCTATAAACTCTAATGTCACATTTACACTTTGTGTAATGTAATAATTTAATCTTTTATTTATATCTAATCTTTTAATTTTCTCAAACCTTTATTTCCTTTTTTTATATAGCAGTTTAAATTTATTTTAACTTTCTGTTCGACCTTCCTCACTGGTCATATGGTCATTGCCCTTCCTGTGGGAACAGATACTCCTCTATTTCTGCCTTTCTTTTTTCTTCATTTATTTTTTTAAGGAAGGCAAACTTAACCAATCCCTTTCCTTTGATTTTCAAACTCTCCTCCTCTTTAAATTTTATTGATTATCACTTTTCTAGTTCTATACCCGTTAACGAATTTAAGATGTTTTGACACTTTTATAATTTTCTCTAGTGCATGCTTGCTGGTTACACCAAGATGTACGCTCTTTCTTTCTCCAAGATGCAGACTTTGGTCCATATAGAGAGAATTTATTTTTTACATCCTTTTTTTAGCCGTTCATTTTAATTAAATCTACAATAATTAATTTCTGTAAATTAAATATGTACATTTATACCTTTAATTTCCTTTAACATTAAAGACCCTCTCAAATTTAAGCTTTCTTTCTATATTTATCTTTTTCAACAGTTGCATTTCTCGTTCTCTTATACTTTATTTTTATGCCTGACTTTTTTTCTTTTTTTTTAAATTCTCCTGTCACCCATTTCTAATTCTATGTCTTTCTTGTTTAACAAAATGTATCAAAAGATATGTCTTACTAAATTGCGAATTTGCTCTTAATTAAATGCTGTGCTTAATTTAAAGAAATCTGTGTATTCCTTTGTCTCTCTTATCATGATGATTTTATTATTTCTCCAGTATGTGGTGAGTACTTTTAATGATTGTTTCTATTTGGAAACATCAATAAATCATGCTAAATGATTTATTTATATTTGGATATAGCATGTCATTATCTTATTTATCTTTTAATCTTTGATTTTAATTAATTTTTAGTTATTACCCTTATTCAAAATTTGGTGATACCATATTTATCCAATTTGCTCAAACCTCACACTTTGTGATCTTTTGAATCTATTGGATTATTGTTATCTCACAATAGCTTTCTACTACCACTTTGCTTAATCATCACATTCCCCTTAATTTAATTACCTTTTATCCTATTTTTGGCCTAAATTTGTTTCCTATGAAATTCAATAATTGCCTGTTTTTTTACTCAATGTACTATATCCAAATACAAGCACAATTCAAATTTCAAACCATTATAATATATATAAAATAAATTTACTTAATTGGCACCATACATAATATAAATAATTTTTTCAAATGTAACATCTAACTTCTTTGTTTATAAATTGCAAAGTTTATGAATTCTGCATTTATAAATACAAATGAGAGATGATCAAATAAATGAAAGCATAATAAAAAGAAAATAGCTCCCCAGTGTCACCCTCTCTTCGTCCCTCATTAACTTTTGCTGTTGCCATTGAAAATGATTTGTTTGCATAAATGTGGATATTTTTTCTATTTTCTGAAATCATCAACAGATGGCCATAGATGGGAAAAAGATTCCCATTAACATTTAAAAACTAATGAATTTGTTGGGAAGTATACTTCTTACTGAATTTTACAGGGTTAAGGAAACAAGTTCCAATTGTATATGAATTTATTTACATAAATGTAATAAAAACCAACAGATTAATTATTTTGTTTCAATTACAGCCGGAAAGAGTTGAGAAGATTGTGATTGAAGATGTTAGCCCCAAAGAGCCTGTGCCTGAGCTATATTACATTTTTGGTGCAATGATTGAAGAACAGATAGATTGTTTTGAACATTCCACAAATGCGGACACTGAGGCATCTCTAAATCAAAAGCTGAGAGAATGCATTTACCGCACAGTGCCTGTAAGTCTTTGAAGCTTGAAATTATTTTAGGAGAATTGTTGTCAAATATTTATTATTTTTTATTGTTATCAGGAATGTATATCATAATATTTATGTACGTTTTTTTTGTTGGTATTTTTTAATTTGTGAATATATTATTAGAGAGGGGGGGGGGAAACATAAATGTATCTTCATGCATGGTTTGGTTCTTTCATTTACATTAATTTATTTAATAATAATAATGATTTATTTATATCAATTTGAAAAGCTATGAAAAGTATTTAATGCATCATGAATTATGAAAGGAAAAAAAAAATATTAAAAATAATTTTAAAATTTAAAATCACTTAAAAAATTCATCAATACACTCCAAAAAAAAGAAACTTTAATCAGTTGAGAATAATCCCGACATAAGTGATCAGAATTAAACCTATGAATACAGATAATTTTACCAGTGTAAAATTATTATTTAAACAGCGAATTAATTTTGTTTAAATAGAATATGAATAAAAAGGCGGTGTTTTAAGGGGCAAGCTTATTTTTATAAAAATTCAAAATAAAAAATAATATTTTTAAAAACCACGTTTTTGTAGTGGAGAATAATAATTTTAAAAAAAATTGGAAAACGAAAAACGTGGGGCGCATGAAATACATAACAGTAATGTTATAGTGTGTGTATGTGTGCTCTTGAGAATATGTGTATGGTATATCTGTAATTGTATCTGAATGTGGATGTGGAATATGTTTGTGTATATGCATATGTATATGTGGCTGTGCATGTGTATAAGTAAGAAAATGTGTATATGTATGTGCATGTATACTGTTATGTATTTCATGCGCCCCACGTTTTTCGTTTTTCAATTTTTTTTTAATTATTATTCTCCACTACAAAAACGTGGTTTTTAAAAATATTATTTTTTATTTTGAATTTTTTTAT